CTCACATGTTTGAAGTGAAAACGTATATAGATTTTCCACATTTTTGCAATAATATAAGCAGCCATTAAAGGGCATGGCTCTCAATAAGTAATTTGTCATTTGCTTCCATTGCCTGAATGTGTTGTGTTAACACATCATAATATGTATGAACCACTACAATTTTGTGAATCTTGAAGATTTTATTTGTGTAAAAGCTACGTCATTTTCTTCATGACTATTTGTGTAAAAACCCCAAACAGAGGTAGCCATATTAACTGATTTCTTCTGCTACCACGGCTATCAAGTCGTGCCCCAATTGTATTGCAATAAATGGCATCAAATATTCATTAAAACTTTCTAAGCAAAAGACTTTGAAAGTACGTTTCATAAAAAATGTTAACATTAAAATCATTGGAGATAAATAATATTTTAAGCGCGTGACTTGAATATTGAAAATCAACCATCAAAATTTCAATTCAACAAAGGAAACTGCACATATTTTTAATATGATAAAAAAGTGCAATATTTATTTATATTTTAATATAACTATGTATTTATTACAATTAATGCATTGAAAAATTAATAGTTAAATTAAAATAAATTCTGGTTCACTTACAGTTGAATGTTCATCCATTCCGTGAAAAATTACAAACATTTTTGGGTCTGTGTATATGAATATTCTATATTTTTACAAATAATAATTGATATAAATTTCTAAAATAAATATTTAAAAAACAGACAGTTTATAAAAATATACGGAAGGAGCCACTTGTACGCTAATAGCACGGAGGCTCGATTCGTTGGAACTTTTCATAATCGATGAAAGGGTGCGTGGAACCAACTGTTTCATGGCCTTCAATTTATTATAAAGCAGCATCATAGCATCATCGCTAAAATCATTATATTTACTTTAAATAATTTTCAAAAAGAAAAGGCTGATTGTAACTTGGCGACGTATGTCGATCAAATAGTTCTTTTTTAAATCAAACGAAATTTGCAGCCAGAACCTAAATAAACCGAAAGGAAGCAAATATCATTGTAAATAGCAAATATGATAAGACAAATGCACCTTTGTAACCACATATTACAGCCCAAAACTTGGTGATTCTGTAGGAATCGCTTACGCACAAAGCAGGGGTAGCCATCCAACACTTTCCTGTCAAACGTTATGACGTCATTCTGGACATCTCTATTGAAAAGCTTTAGAAATTTCGGTCATATGGCGAAACTTCACAAGTTCATTTCATCCAACAAATGTGAAATAAAATAATTATTTTAAAAATGGTATTTGGACGCTATTCATTATGATCAATGCTTGTTTTGCAAGAAAGTGCACCCCTTCCGCGCAAACAATTCCAAATGGGCTTACAGTCGACTGAGTAGTGGCTGCCATTTCAGTATTCTAGATTTATTTAGTCAAAAGAAGGAAAAAAAAAGAAAAAAGTAAGAACTGTATGTGACGTATGTGGGAGAAGATCATCTTCGCGTTTTCTTGAGTTCCAGAATCCCTTCTCATCATTTTAAATATAAATAGTTGAAAGATGAGTAAAAGTTTAACATAAAAAAATAAATTTTAAAAATCGCAAGATTAGTAATATTTGAAAAATAGTAATTTTCGTTTCCGAGTTACAGAAAACTTATTGACATGGTAAATGAATTACAGGTATGATTTTTTTGCATTGCTAACAAAATAGTAACACGCCCTTACCTCTACCCCTACCATTACAAGCTAAAAGAGAGTTCAACAAAACGTGCGCATAGTGAAGCTACATTTAGGTCCAGAAGCAAAACAAGGGGCCATCTCAGCATTCACTCAATGGGTCAGGGAAACTGGACAAAACCTGATCGAGATAATCCACGCATCGAAAGGCTGTTCCAAACCATCACGAGCCGATCTCGCCGCTCGAGTTGAGACGCTGTGTAAAAACAGGCCGAATGTCACACGACTACACGTGCTGCAGCCGGGTTGCACTCATTCTCAGGGCTGGGATTCTGATGATCTAAAAATTATTTGAAAATGACCTATAAAATGCCTTAAAATAAGGGAAGAATGTCCTAATTTTTTTTAAATACTCAAACAATTGTACGATAATATTTACATATTCAATGGATTTTATAATTTTAAATAAACAGTATTTTAAAAGAAAATGTAATTATTACGACTGATCGTCTGGAAAAGAGGAAATATACCATTTGATGGCAGAAGAACGTACCATTTAACTTGTTATTTAAAGAAAATAAAGAAGTATTATGTATTAGGAGAATTGTTCTTACCTCATTCAGCATGAGCATCACAATAGATGACTGTGATCACGCGCACATTGTCGAATGAGAATGAATGCTGCTTTGTTCGCCATTAAGTTTTTGTGTACGAAAAAGTTTTTTTCTACATCAACTGACGAAACAGAGGCATACTTGAAGTGTGATAAATCGCTGGATATTAATTCCTTTTGGATGGTATTCGTTACGAAATCTCTCCCAACACTCGATCAATGAAGCACAATAGATGATATCCAGAACTTTTAACAAAAACTTGAATTTCTTCTGACTCTGTCTTACCAACATATACACCCCCTATTTGCAATACGTCTCCAGTTGTTAATACTAAATCTATCATGTTTCCTAAAAGCTCATCACCCATCATAGACGGGTAATTGTTGACGACAAAACTAGATTTGATGTAAGCTAGCTTTCCCTCCATTTTACTTTCTCCTTTACGTACGTATATACGGTCGTCGGTACGTATATGCGTAGCGTCTCACAAAACTATTCGAACACGGGGAATTTAGCACAATAATCATGGATTACGTATAGTAAAGAAGAAAATAAATGTCATAAAGTATGTTATATGATCACTTTTATAAGTAGGTATAAGGGAATTACAAAAGTTTCTATAAAATCACAATAACCAACTGATATTTTTAAATCCGAATTTTTTTTGTTGAAATAACACACAAAACTATCCGGACACTTGATTCGAAATAGAAACAAATATGCACAGTAAATATTATTCAAACAGAAAAAAACACGTAAAAAATGACACACTAAGAAAGTTCAATATCTTCTAGCAATCTCCTTTCGCTGTAGCACTTCGTTCAGTTTATTTGGCATACTTTGTACCATGGTTAGGGTATAAGAAGGAGTTTTTCTTCTTATTGCATTATGTTTTAATTCTTGTTAGGAATGAGTTGGATATTTTCTTATCTCCTTTTCCAATATTTCCCAAGGATGTTCTCCAACTGTAAGGTCTGGTATCAGGGATGGATGAAGTACCTGTGGGCAGTTATACAGCAGCCAAAGTTGAACAACCTGCGACTTGTGCAGGGCATCATTACCTTGATCAAAATAAAATCTGTCAAGAACAACAATATTTTCAACACTTTGTTTTAAATTTTGTTTAAGAATGTCAAGAGAGTTGAACCTGGTCATCGTTTGATCTATGAACAGATGTTCACTGACACCACTGGTAGGCATGCAGCGCCAGTGTCGTTATATTTCCTCCTCTGTGCTTCCCGGTTGCTTTCATGTTTTCTCCTTTCAGCTCCTAAGTTGGTCTCCTCGGCACCCTAATTCTTCCATCGGAACCACAGATATTCATTTTCAATTTGTCAACGAAGATTACTCTCTTCCTCTTCTTCTGCGTATTATTTAGCAAAACCCTGCCTTTTTCTTCGGTTCTCTTTACTTATAAATGGCTTCCTTCTGGCAACGAGGCTATGGAAATTGGACCTCCTTAGTACGTTTCATGCAGTTTCTGGATTTACTTTCTTGCCAATGTCACTTTAGAACTGTGCAGGAATTTTTGGTGAAATAATACGAGGATCTTTTTTTTTTCTATTATTCTCACAATGATATTATCTTCTCGAACAGAAAATGTCTTCGGGCGTCCTCCGGGTTGCAATTCTGTCATCTCTTCACAGATACACTCTGAGATTATGTCACCCGATGTGCTTTCTTCGTTAATCAAATTTTGCAAAAATTTTTCGGCATAATTTGCCCTTTGCGTGATGGTAAATAACCAGCTGACGCTGCTCAAAAGTCTGCGGCTCATTTCGCTTAAATGTTAAGGTTCCCACGAATCTGATTCATCGGTGACCTTGAATGTGCAACAAGAATTGCAGGTTTCCGTTATGGCGTTGTCCCAACAGCTGTCCGAATAGTTTTGTTGAAGGGAAGTCTCTTCAGTGGCAACTAATTTTTTTAAATCAAGCGAATATGCAATTCATGCAAAATATGCGATATTAAAAAAATATCAAAAATACCTCCAAATTATTTTGTTAAACTTTTTGTGCAGATAGTGCTAAATAAACTGTATAAAATGACATACTCTCCATTTCATTCTTATGTTTTGTTTTTAAAAAATTACACAAATTTAGTTGCACTGAATAACAAAAACTCGACACCACTTTTATGAATTACTTTGTAATTTTCAAAAATTACATGAATGTAATTTTATAATATCTCTCAAATCCTGTCAATGTTTTAAGTTGATTTTTTACGTACTGATATTTAATATGATAGTTACGAGATCACAGGTTTAGTGTCTCCAAAATTAAAATATTGTACTCATTCCCAAAGCAGCAAAACTAACTTGCACCTGACCTTTTACCATGTTTTATCTAAAATGCATTTAATTTGACAGAGTTATGCATTTCCCATTCATTCACCATCCATTCATCTATCTCAATTTTCATGTACAAAATTCTGTGTTTCTGATTGTCACCTGCACCAATCTTAACCATCTTCAGAACACTACTAGATCTTAATCTTGACATGTGTACAAAATTCAAAAAGTATCTTGAACACAGATTCTATGACTGAAAATTTATGTTGGCATTGTTGAGGTGAATCCAACACACAAAAAGTATTAGGAATGTATAATTCACAATACACATAATTTTATGGATTAAGAAATCAGAAAGATAAAAATAATTAAGTATTATGGGATGTTTATTAACAAAGTAGTGCATGGCAGAAGAAGGGAGAGAGAGAGAGAGAGAAAAAAAGGAATTGTACAAAGTGTGAAGCATAAAGACTTTATTTACATTCAATTTTTTTATCCCAAATTGAAGTGTTCAATATAAAAATATTTTTTAAATTCAAAATAGTGTAAAACAGCACAATTGACTATATTCAATTCTAACATCAAAATGGTCTCAGTTTATTTACCTGAGATTTAAATCTAATTTATTACATAAAACTTGGATAAAACATTAAAGTCAATAATCTCTCAATCTAACAGATGCCCTGTATTTCCCTATGGTGACAATGGAGTTTTGAGGAACTGTTCAATAATTTCTAACATGTATATTCACTATTAAATTAAAGATTGTTTACTCTTAATCAAAAGATGATAAATTAAAGATATTTTTGTCATCGTGCAGTTCATTCATTCTCTCATTCCCATTCACATGAAACACAGTTAATGGCACCAATCTAGTTGCTCATGTCTTCTAAAACATTCAACAAGTGACCAAAAATTGAACGTTATAAGAAACTTGCTTGGTCTTAAATATGAAAGTTGGACTTTGTACACAAACTCAGCCTTGTTTTTATCAGTTCATATATTATTAACTAAACTTTTAAAGAAGACACTTAAAGCTATGTATGAATCAGTTGTACCCATATTGCATGTTTTTTACAATGTAACAGTACATTAGAAGATATAAGTACAAAAGAGAGCTGAAAGTATGATTTTGCACTTTACCAAGAGCCTTTTTCTCATTTTTGAATTATGAATGTTTTGAATAATAACTTTAGGTTTAAGTTGACCTAATATCACTGAAAATGAGATGAATTAGCAAGAGAATGTCATTTGAAATATCATTTCATATACTAGTAATGCAATTAATTCCTAGAATGATTATTTTTACTCCTTTGATCTGACTAAAACTGAACATTTCACTGGGTTTCAAAAATTGGTAACATTAAGAAGATTCTAAAGAAAGTTCAGAGTAGGTCTTACCTGATAATAAAAAATAAACATAATAATACAAATTCCATTGTTCAGAAAAATCTATTTCTAGGAAATATTTTATAGTTTTGACAAAACTAAGGAATCCTTTAGAGATCTGCTAAAATTCTGAACATTAAAAGTCTTATTCACACAATTCAACTTTAAAATAATCCATCTTATACATTTCTCTAGCATTTTAATCATTTTACTATTCTCAATAGTTCATCAATCTAAATTTAATGGAAAGAAACAGTCATACATTATTATAAAAAAAATAATTTTGTAATAAAAATAACTTGTATTAAAAGAAAGTTTTAAGTAATTTGCCATGATATACCAATCTTTTCCTTTCAGGTAATTTCCATTTCTTCGGTTTTAAAATTAAACATTCCAAGAATATGAAGACAAATAGAAAAAAAAATATTTTTTTTTCCCATTGCCCAGTGTATCAGATAAAAGAGGAAAGTTGATCTTGTAAAGGAAGCTTTCTAGTGCTTGCTTAAAATATTTCGTCTGTTATGTTTGTATCAAACAAAATGATGTAATTTCCTTGTACATGGATGATTAAATAAAACATTAAAACTTAGTGCTTCATTCACGTTCCCATCCATTAATTACATTTAATGAAAATTGTTTTAAGATTGTTCACCTCTTTTAATTCTCTTTTTTCTTTCTCTTTCATTAAATAATAATTGAAATGCATTTCAGATGAAGATCTTCAAGTCCATAGTTACTACATGAAAACAATAAATTTGACTTGTAGTTATTATTTTGATTTAAGACTAACATTAACTAAGATTATCACATTAAATAACTGGAAACAGATGTCCAAAAAACATCCTCTCTGGGACCTGATCTAAACAAATGTTCCAAGGAGTTAAAAATTGATAGTTTTGCCCATTGATGGTATGCCCAATGAGTATGTACTTCAGTAAGAAGATTCTTGATTTCCTTCTTTCCAAATTTCTTGTGTTACAACAATTGCAAGGGTTTTGTGTGTTTTTGGAATGGAATGAAAAGTGGAAACAAGAAAAGGCCCACTTCTGGACTTGCTGGAGGAAAGAGATAAATGAAACTTGAATTAAAGAGAACAATATAGAGAAATAGATTCACAATATGTGATGCTTGTCTCACATTGTAAAGATTTTTACAGTGGTCTTATTCCTTTCATTAAACATAATTTTCCATTGGAGGATTATTTTTGGGGAGTCTTAATGTTAAATACTATCTCTTTTTAATTGAGTAACAATGGAATGTTTCTAACATTTGTAGCAAAAATCTTTATTACTAACCTTCAAATCAATTTGTAATTCAAATTAATTCTTGACTCAAATTGTCCAGATATTCATAATGCAGCTGGTCAGTACAAATTTCATTATCAATGGAATAAAAGAGAATATTCAACACCATAATATAATTTTTGTTCAACCAAATCAAAGTATTAAAGAAAACTTAATTAATAAACTTGTTCTGAGGAACAAATATAAGTAGATTGCAACTGAAGGCTCTTTATGCCAATAACATGTGGTATTTGACATTTTATTCATTAGAAATTTTGATAAAATATAAACTCATAACAACTATAGCTCTCCTATTAATTAAATGGCATACTTCAATTTACACATAAAATTCCAAAAACAATTTAACAATATTAGCACCATTGAAAGACTGGCTAGTCTATAAGTAACTCATTCACACATTCCATTCATCTTGGCATACTGAATGCCATGAAACACACTTCAAGACACAGCATACATGTAAATTACATATAAAAATGTCTTTTGCCTCCTGATAAAGAACTACACTGGGTATAAAAATACAAAATATTAGAGCAGCAATCTGAAACACACTGTAGAGTTCACACTTGCACTTCTATAATGTTTTGTGCTCCATTTTCTCTTATAACTAGTGTAACAGAATGATCAATTGGATAATGAAGATTCTAATGTCTCATTGACATTCATATCAGACTGGTCAGCATCATTTTGAATTGTAATCATCATTTTCTCCTCATCACCAGAATCACTGCATTCTGATGAAACAGACTGAGTAGACGTTGCTGCTTCCTGAAAAAGAAAATTGGGAGTTCAGTATATATTCTCTTACAATTTGCAAAGAGAGTACTAGTTATAGATTAAAATAAAAATAGGAGCTGTGAGGCTCAAGACCTATCATTATTAATTCAGGAGAACACATTGTTACTTTTAATATTGAAATAACACATGTGTTCAAATCTTAAATCATAGGAAAATAATTGCCTTTACATTCAACATTTAATTTGGAAAAATAATAAAGATTCTTGCTACAATGGAAGGAAATTTGAATGCTTTTATTTAAAAATCCATAATACCTGAGAAAATTGGCTTTGTTTCAAAGCATATATCTCATCTGACATCCACATTTCCTTATCACTGCCATCAGCTTCATCATCAAAACCCTCAAAAATAAAACAAAAAGAACAAGTTTTAGTACACATATTTTCTAAATTATAATTATGATTTAACAATTACTACACTACACACAGAGTGTGAAAGCCGTGTCATAACCTGAAGAATTTCAATATATACATATAGAGAAGGAAACACATGCATGAAACCACATTCTGTGAGAGGAAATTGTGTAATAGCAAATATAAATTTCTTTTCATAATAAATGATGTTACAATATATCAATAAAAATATTAATGCTTAATTTACATTCTTGAAAGTAAAGAACTTTGATCTCTGAGGTATAAAATGTTTCATAAAGGTGGTAGTAGATTTAGATTTTAGATTTACTTAGCCAAAAACTAGTAAAAACTATACATGGCGAATGGGGAAGAAGATAATCTGCACTCATTTTCTTGAGTTCCAGAATCCCTTCCCATCATTTTAACTATAAATAGTTGAAAGATGAGTAAAAGTTAAAGATAAATATATAAATAAAATTTAAAAAAGCACAAGATTAGCAACATTTGAAAACCAGAAATTTTTGTTCCCGAGTAATAGAAAACTTATTTGCAACAGTAAAATGAACTCCAATTCGAACTCCAGATCTGATTTCTCTGCATTGCTAACAAAATAGTAACTTGCCCTTATGTCTACTCCTTCCACTACTAAAGGAAAGTTCAACAAAACATGCACAAAGTAAAACTACATTTACAGAGAAGAAAATACTGATGTGAGATTATTGTTAGTTATTATATATATATATCCATTAAGAAGTAACTAAACACACAGGATTGTGAATTCCAAAAGTGTAAGTGCAGTGGTTTTTAGAGAGTGCTTCAATAACTAAATTAATTGAATACTGTAACTGAATTACACTTATTTTATCTTCTAAAATCAAAGCTATGTTACATGTTGTTTTAAAAAAAATTAAACTAAATAGTACACAGAAATGAGCCGTTTGAAACAATTTTCATGCATCTTCATTAGTTGCATTTATTACAGTATTTATATGATGTTTTCTATTTCAGATAAAATGTATATAGATCCAATGCATTTTACTTATTTAGATAAAAGTGATGGAAAATCTAATAGTTTTTGCAGAGATGACACGATATAGTTGAAATCTATGAAAGGCTGACTTCTAAAAACAATTAAAGCATAATTATAAGATACTACTATACATTGATAATTATACCTACATAAAAAATGAATTAAACAATGGCAAATGAACACCTAAACACTTTAGACAGTCTACACACACACACAGAACAATTTTAAAATGTGGGATTTTAAATCGTGCATTATTATGCCATACATAATACTATCCACAATAGTGAAAATGTAATAAGTTTGTTTTCAAAAAACTTACAGTGATACGTCCTTTAGCGTGAGTTTTGATGTGTTTGGACAAGTGGTCACTTCTCATGAATTTTTTATTGCACTCAGGGCACGCAAATCTTTTCTCCCCTGTGTGAGTCCGCCGATGCCTCTGGAAAGGTAAATATTTTTAATAATGTTATAAACAGAGTAAAAAGAATTAGAAAATTCACACTCACTATGCTGGAAGGGTATATTACTGTTTACAGACAAGCTTGGAAGATCCTCAGTTTTTCACTTTGAATAACTGAGGAATTAGACACAAAACTGCATGAAGATCAGATTCTCAAAAAACTCCCACAAAACATTTAATTACTGAATTTCCTAACTACGTTTGACATCACTAGTAGGAAGAGATGGGAGAAAGTATTACAATTACCAAGCCTGAGTTGATTTAAAATGCTTTGGCAGTTCAAACATGTTTGCACAAACAGTTGCAGTGACAATTAAAAATGAGTGGAAAAAACTAAACAAGCTAATCAAGAAAACTTCTAAGAATTTTGATAAAATGCATGGTGAACAACATTGATTTGCATTAAAGCAGATTAATAAAATCAGTAATCAAAAGCTTAAAATGAACCCAAAATGTGCTCAGTTGTATGTGTAAAATGTGCCCAAAATGTGCTCAGCCCAAAAATACTCACTTGAAGCTCATCAGATCGAGTGAAGCGCTTTCCACAGAAAACCCAACTGCAAATGAAAGGTCTCTCACCAGTGTGCCACCTGAGGTGTGCCCGCAGATGAGAAGTCTTTCCATATACTTTATTACATCCAGGTATGTGGCAGATATGCTGTTTTTTACGATCCCCACTTCGAAACCTGTTACAACATCTTATTTATTACACAAGAAATGGAAAATATAAACAGATTTGACACTTAATTCTTCTTATGTGCAAACTTGTGCACAAGGAAGAGATGGTAATAAAACATATCCATCTTTTTTACAGCAAATACTATGTCATTATGTTGATCACTATGATGTCATTATCACATTTATTATCTTCATTATGTCATTAGAAGAAAGCATAATTTTCTCTAATTGTACCTCTCTCCATCTTTACAGTTGGGGCATGTACATGCCACGCGTCGCACACGGGATTTCTGCGCAGGACGAGAGGGCTCCACGCCGCTGTCCACCTCGGAAGGCGCGGGAGCAGGGGCCAAAGCAGGGGGACCTGGCCCCGGAGCTGCAGCGATCACTTGCCACTTGGGGCCAGAGTCAGACACATCATGAGCCACAGCCTGAGCGCTTGGAGCAGGGGCTGTAGTAATAATGTGAGCTCCAGGAGGAAGACCGGTGGTGCCTGCTCCAGCTAAACTTAGCTGTTGCAGAGCTGAAGCAGGAATAAGTTGAACATTTCCTAGGCCTGGCACATTCTGGATTGGAATAGCTTGAAGACTAGGCATCTAGAGATAAAATAATTTAATTAGTCTTTTTTCCTCTCAGAAATAAGGTCAACATAAACATAAAACAGAAATTATGACAAGTGAGAAAATTGAAAAAATCAGTTGGTTTTATTCCCACATTATTATTAATTTTCTTTCAAAACTAAAATCAATCCTTTCTGAAAATGTTCTTTGATTCACATAAAATATTTTTAAATCACTTATTTTAATACAACAAAGCATTAGAACACTATTTTCCATGTGATTCTTTGAAGTAACAAAGTAACAAAACATTTTCAGCAAAACAAATAAATTGTTGAATGAAAAATATAAATGTTTTTAAGGTCTAGCAAAACATAAATGACCATGCCTGATGTTGAAATGTTTCATATTGAATATACATTCATAACATTCCACCAGCTTTGTTACATAGCTGCACATTAAAAGATGTTGTCAACTGGGAGAAAAATATTAGTACCTGAATAATGTTGCTAGTTGTCCTCACTCCACCTGCACTAGTTAAACTAGGCAATCCAGGAGCAGGAATCACAGTAAGTTGCTGGCCTTGAGCGTTTGTAATAGTAATCTGTTGGGGCTGCGCAGAGGGTTGCGGGTGTTGGGGTTGCGCTTGCTGCACAGTAACAGTGTGGTGACTGCCATCATGTGCTGAGGCACCCGTCATCAGGCTGGGTGCCATTACAGTCTAAAGCAGACGCAAAAAATTGATCATAATCTGTATTACATAAACATTGGTGGATTCTTATTTTAATTAAATACATTTTAAGTATACATTATTTCTTTTGTGCCTCCTGTGAAAATACTTAGTTCATGTTAATTGTTTAAGTTCTTGAACTTCATGACAGTTTCTTCATGAAAGCTCAGCACCAAAATGTGGTTCATATTTACCTGCATGTTCATGGAAGGAGAGCTGACTGCCCCGGCACTCCATGTGCTCACTGTGACACTTGCAGAGTTGGCCACAGCTTGGGCTAGCATGTTTTGTGCAACTTGCACTTGAGCCTGAGATTGCGCCTGAGCATGAACATGTGTTTGGGTTTGCACTTGAACTTGATGTGCTTGGGCAGCTTGAGCTTGAGCTTGAACTTGGGCTTGGTGAGCATGAGCCTGTGCTTGAGCTTGGGCTTGGGCCTGTGCGTGAGCTTGGGCTTGGGCTTGGGCTTGTGCCTGAGCTTGGGCTTGGGCCTGAGCTTGAGCTTGGGCCTGAGCTTGAGCTTGGGCTTGAGCTTGAGCTTGGGCCTGAGCCTGGGCCTGAACCTGAGCTTGAGCAAGACTGCTGATCTGAGTAACGGATGCAAGTTGAACCTGCTGTATTTGCCCAGATGGTGTAATTATCTGAGCCATTTGAGGTTGAGCCACCTAAACACATAGATATTTTCTATAACTATCATGTATCTTTTAAGGTATTTTAATTAATTAATTTATGTAACATAAAAAATAGTTACAAACTGCATGTGACATAATACAGGGAGAGGTATATTCTGTGCACAGTTTCATCCCTATCCTAACCAATTTACAAGTTGAATTCTGAATATAGATGGAAAGGAATAATTTTGTCAAGAATTGATAAAAATATTTGGGCCCAAGAAATAAAAAGAAAACTATTTGCAAAGGTAAATCTGCTACAGATTTAGGCTATTATTCCTCATTATGCTCTTTATGAACGAATTGACTTACTGCAATGAGAACATGGAGAGCTCTAATTTACATGACTATGTTCCCCACTGAACTCTAGAAAATGTGAACAGATAGTGAAGTTACATTTATGTCTAGAAGCAAAACAAAGGGCCATCTCTGCATTGCTCCAAGGATCAATGGAAACTGAACGAAAAACCAGATCAAGAAGGGGATGACTGGCAGAGAAGTTGAGGTACACTACTTTTTACAGGTTTATTTAGTCTTATGGAATTATACAATCCAAAAAGTAGCTAATACTTTAAATGTTGTTGTTAAAACCAATATTACTTTCCTTTTTTATGCTTGGTATAGTCTCTAATTGTATAGAAACAGTTATGCAGAAGAAAATATTTTACTTTGGACTTGAACTTAATTTTAATTACATAATTAATTAATGACATTTGCCTATGCATTCTAAAATAATGTTCATGTATTATATTTGAATTTTTTATAGTGAGCTATTGATACTTACAACTGATGAATATGATTACTATTTTTAGTGTTATAATATAGACATTAGTGTTAATTGAAAATGTGTTCCAGTTCTCGGGCAAGTACTTTTTGACCAAAATTACTCATTTGCAAATGAAGAGACAAGGCAATGGTAGAATTAGTAGCTTAATAAAAAGAGGACAAAATCATTGCTTATTATTCATTCAATTTGTGTGTCATTCATACAATTCTTTTCTGTATTCTAAAAATCCGGAAGCTATAGGTTGTGTTTCCCTGCCATTTCTCAGACAGGAAAGAACATTTCACATGAAATATTCACAATGAGAATTATGAAGCTGAATTTGAAAGTATTAAATAATGAATTTAATTTTGTATTTTCAATTCACATAAATGGGCAATCCATTTGAGGCTGAAGGTGCAAAAATGTTGAATGATGTTACCTTAACATCAGTCTAAAGCACATCGTTAATTTTCATTGGAGTATAGACTTATTTGAAATGGAAAACTGTTTTGAAACTGTTTTCCCTTCATTTACTATTCTGTTATTACAAAACTAGTTTGAAAGATCTGATATTGCACTATTTACTGTTTCTTTATTGCAAAGAATGTTCTATTATCTGCAAAGAGCACTGTTCTCTTATTTTGAATCATCGGTGACATATTGTTTACATGCAGTAGAAAGAGAATAGGGTCTAAAATCGAACCCTGCGGGACCATAATGGCTCAGATGTGCATCTGACAATAAATCAGAAAGGTGAGTAAAATAAAGTCCCACCACTCCAGTACAATGTACTCTGAGATTGTTGTTGAAGATACAATCATTACCAATGTAGAGCAATATCACACATCTCATAAGGAGGTAATTTGAAAGTAAAAAGTTATGATCAATGACATCAAAAACTTTTGAAATATATAAAATTCTAATTCTAATCTATTTTATATCTTCTATTTTTCATGACTTCAAAATATGATATCACAGCAATATTATTACTTACTTGACTTATTTGAGGAAGCATTTGAACTTGATTAATGGATGGCAGTGATGTAATAGCTTGGACTGGAAAATGGATGGTTTGATATATGGTCTGACCACTTGCTGTAGATACGGGCACTTGGACAGGAATTGTTTGCTGCACTGGAAACTGAAGTACTTGGGGCACTGCAGAGCGTACCGCAACACTCTGACCTGAATAAAACATAGAAATTCATAAAATATTGTAAAATTTAAAACTTAAAAATTCATTTGATTAAGTTTTGATGAAAACATTAAAATCAATTCAAAGAGAATAACATGTTAGTTATTGTTTCTATTTAGTAAGGGAGGTTCCGGAAATTAAAATTACAATCAAATAATAATGATTGAAACATTCATTTTTAATATTTTATAAACTAAAAGAAAAAAAAAGATTTTCTTTCCCTTTTTACTTTCTCGCTACGCAGTAGAGAGAAAGTTATGTAACGCAGCTTAAAACAACAACAACAACAACAACACCCGAAATTTCGGCAGATAAACTCTTATTACAGGACCCTGGTAATGAACATGAGGATAAATCCAGATGCTAAATTTAGAGAAAAAAATCCTTCATCACGTGATGTAGCAGAATCCATGTTTTGTGAGTCCTTAATACCGAAAAGTCATTTGTCGGATAACGTCTGTCTGTCCGTGTGCGAAGAACGCTAGCGGCTAAACCGTTAAGACGATTTTCTCCAAAATTGATATTCCCCAATTGATCAGGATGATTTCATGGGTCATTGAATTTGAAACCTATATTTTAATTTTGGGGGGTACTTTACATGAAGCCCCTGGGACATTTTCAAAATTGTTCAAAAAATTGCTCCAACGTTTTTGATTAAACTTTGTTATTGGAAAGTGTGAAAGACTTAAATAATGGTTCAGGTCTCATGTTCATTGAATAGCCTGATTTTTCGAAAATTTAAAAAATTCAAAATTTTTTCGGCGTTTTCCAACAACTACAATTATGAAGATAAATATTGTTTTCTTAATGAAATGTGTTCATCAAAAACTAGTGATGTAGCTGTATGAAAAGCAGTTATAATTGTCAAATTTGTGTTGATATTTACTTGAAAATATTTAGTTCATTCACTAAATGTTATATGATTTGTAATTAGTTTTACAAAAAAAATTGATGACTGAGATGTGTTAATTCGGGTATTTATGGTATAAATAGTATTATATTACTATTACTAAAGGCGAGAAGGTTTGTGCTGTTTTAGCTCCGCTAGTTTATTCCGGATACCCTTTTAAGAGCCAGAAGTGCCACAGGAGAATCACTGAATGCACAGTATTTCGGGTCTCCGACGTTCGTCCAATATTCTCCGGATCGCTGGGAGGAGCATACGAGGACGGATGAGGGCACTATGTGAGTACTGGGGATGTGTTTGAGGAGAGTGAGGGAGCGTGGAAAGATCGCGCGCGGCCAGTGGCCGCATTCCAGTTGCTCTTCCGGCATTCGCATGGAGGTGACAGGGCAAACCTCGGAAATCCTTTCACAGCGCAATGGCCGTAATATCGCGATTCTGGATGGCGCCACAAACAGGCGATGTTAAACAAATCAGAAAAAAATTCCGGAACCTGGAGGTAATCGATCCCACGTCCCCTAATCTCTGGTGCGCACGAGCATAAGGCGTTGCCGGAGTTTTCACTCCGTTGCGTCAACACCATTCCCTTTCTCCACCACAGGATTAACTAATCAAGGACCATGAGCCGAAGGTGATAAGCTCGAGCGGGAAGAACGGCTGACAAATTGTTACCTTATGACGAGGAACTGGGTTTTCCTCCCCACTCTCTCATTTACTCCCCCACTCTCGCTCCCTCTCACCAATTTTTCCCTCCCACCGCTCTCGCTCTCTCTCTTTCCCTCCCACCGCTCTCGCTCTCTCTCTTTCCCACCGCCCTCTCTTCTCATTTAAATACCGAATTTTGAAGTACAGATTTAAATAAGAAAAAACGCCTTTATCTTCAATACTGTAGATGCATGATATCAATTAATCACATTTCAAAAATTATGAGACTTCAACGAAAATGAAACATGAACCATTTTTTTAAGTGTTGCCTCTATACGATTAAAAAATAGACCAAAAATTTGATACTGTCTTTTAAGAAAAAAGTGAGAATGTGATTGAGGCTTCATGACAGTCCCCAAAATCACCCCCAAAATTAAAATATCCGTTTCAGATTGAAGCGATATGAGTCAGAGCGATTGGTGAATATCCATTTTGGTGAGAATCCGAATTACGGTTCAGCCGCTTGCGTTTCTCAGAGGCAGACAAGCCGTGTTCATGCTTCGGATCTGCAATGACCTGGCAGAAAATGCATACTTTTTTAATTTTTTTTATATTCGATGAAGCGTTGGCAGGTAGATAAATGTTTTTTTTTCTTTTAAGTTTTGATTTCATTATTGGAATAATAAAGTTTTGATTTTTTGG